AGTACAGATATTTGTGTAAAAATGTAAGGAGTAGAAGTAAAATGTCACCATAAAAATAAGTAGTAAAGTAAAGTAAAAATATCAGAAAAATCTACTTGAGTACAGTTACGAAGTATTTCTACTTGGTTACTTCCCATCTCTGCAGTACAGTGATCTATAGTGTAGTCTTTGCTTATTTTATACTTATTATAATAATAGAATAGAGGTGCCCTTTTTCATTTAGGCTTTTGGAAATTCCTAAGAAAAGTATTATTTTCGAATCCAATAAATGGGATAATAATCCACCTCTCCTTGGTGATGCTTTTGAATATTTCTCTCTGATTATTTTGCAACTTGCAGAGCTCGCTCCTCCTGCACATTTTTGGAGCAGTGAGCTCCCCATAGAGTCCAATGTAATTCTCCCAGCGCAATAGGAGACTTGCTTTTAGGAAACTACAGTTGTAGCTCAGTCTGCCTTGCTCTGGTTGTGGAGATGTGTCGGTTTTGTAGAATAAATAATCCGCAGACCAGTTATTAATGCAGAAAAGCCAAATCTGTGAATATATTGTCAACTTTACTGCAGTTTCACAATGCTTTCTGTGTGTCTGCAGCAGAGAGGGAGAAGAGAGATCACTTGAGTTATATTTCCCACTGAATAAATAATGCTCATTATTGTATAAATGGTAATTATTGTATAAATATTCTTGCTTTCTACAGCGTTCCAGCTCATGCAGCTATTTTCATTGTACAGATCAGTTATCGTGTGATCACTGCGCTGGTGGCCTCGCTGAAATCATTGCAGTGTTGGCGACACTGATGATGTAGACCTAGTTATATTTATTTACAAATATGTTTTTTTCCCCCTACTCTCAGGTAAAACCCTCTCAAAGAGAGAAACTGAAACTGAAGGGGGTGGAATGGTTCTCCAGCCACAGCGCTAATGGGGCATTTACATCTGAAAAGGGATTCATGAGTTGTGAAGTACTGCGGGGGATTGCAGGCTGACGAAAATTCTCGTATCTGTGGGTTTTAATATTTTAAAACATTGACAGATTTTTAAAAGATCCAGCAGATTGCTTTGAATTGTTTACTTGCGGCATTTCACTCATCCTCAGTGAGTATTTAGAGCTGATAATGCAGGATACCCACGTTCAAGAAACATTATTTGATCATGAGTTAACAGTAGTCGTCTGAAACAGGAAAATTGTCTGGGACAGTGGGAAAAGTTAGGGTTGAATCCTGCAAAGGATATGTTGCACCAGGGACGTCAGCTGACCCAACAATGTACAGGGGCACAATAAGACACCAAAAGAAATGCAAGCTTGGGATGCACATGAGCAAAACATTTTTTGGCAAACATTTATTTAAAAAAAAGCATAGGCACAGATAATTAATGCAAGCATGCAAGCAAATATCTTATAGCACTTATTTATTATTATAAAGCATCATAAATAAATTGTACAATGAGATTGTTATTTTCCACATCATTAAATATCTACCTGAACCAAACTGAATTGAATTGGCGCACTTGTGAATTTAACTGTATATCTATAATCCACTACTGAAGAAGGCACAATTTATCTTCATTAAATATCTGTCAGCAAATATGAATTTGAAAACTAAAAACTTAAAATGTGCAACTGTAAAAGGAAAAAAGAAATTCTATTTTGGCCCATCCTATGATGGTGTGACGGTGACTATCCTGTGAGATGTGTATGTCATGGCCAGAAAGATGGGAGAGCTGTATGTTCATTTTTTTTACAGTAAACGGTAGTGTCTCAGCTTCATTTTTGCGAAGCTGTCCATTAATTGTGACCGG